TTTACTACAACAATAACAGCGATTACAGAGGCACGCTTAGCTCTACTGACATTTGGTCTGTGACTGAGATCTCCCCCTTTGTAGGGGTTCATTGGGCGAGAGTTCAGACGCTGCTTTAGATGGGACGATATAAGCAGATAGACAGCCAGATTAGATGGAGTTAGCTTTTATCGCCTGATTCCCCTATTAAAACTGTTTGGGTGATTCACGCCATTGGAGATTCCCATCTGTGGTATCATCCTTGAGTACTGATGTATTAAACAGAGTCTGCTAACAGCTTGCCATTTACTTCTGTAGATGGCTTCATTTTTGTAGTGTGCACTTCTGTATATGTGCCTAGGCAAATACAGCACAGTCTGACAAGACCCAGGCGACAGCTACCGGACAATGCTCTGATCTGTAGTAGATTTAAGGACTTTGGTTTCACATTTTGTACTTGTCCCCTGCAAATAAATCTGTCAGTTGTCAAAGGGAACAGTCAAAGCAAATCAGAATGTTGGTGCTGAGAGCTTGATTTTTGGCAGAATTGAAGCCAGAACTGAAACATACTTCAGCTGGACAATCTATGTTGGTTTCAGGACCATGGCTAGAGTTCTTTCCTGTCAGGATAGCAACACTTCCATTTCCTTTGGAGGAATGTTCTTTAAGCGGAAAGAAAGCTTCAGACTTTTCTGAGCCGAGCGGTAGGATACTAGCCAGTTTATAACAGTCATTCTGTGGATGAAACGTTATAGCCACTTCAGTTTTATTAGCAGCATCTCTGCAGGCAGTTTGGGCAAAGCAAGGCTGAAAAGAGTCTAGTGAGCTACATAATGCCAAAGCAGGAGGGAAGGGGATAGCTACCCCAGGGTGCAAGTCTCAAGAGAACCTTTAAACCTTATTGAAGCCAGGAAGCAATCCGCTCTTGGGAGCAGGGAAGGTAAAGCCCAAGTGGTGACACTCAAACATTTCCTTCCTGTGTTCCTTTTAGCTGTGGCACATGATTCTTGGTTAGGATGTCTTAAGATTGGATTAGGCAAATCTGTGGAGGATAGCTATGACACTTCGGTGAAGTTGCTCTCACAAAAGTTCCCCAGTATTTTTAAAAAACAAAAATTTGAGGGCCTCCAGCCTGTCTGCCACTTTTTATAACTGTCACTCATCTATTCTCTAATCCCTCAGACTTCCCCGAGACTGTCCTTCCCTTGTCTGCCTCCTGGGCCTGTGACTGCCCTTTGTCTTTCTCCCTGGCGACTTGATTCCTTCAGTCCATGAACGAACCCCAAGGAACTTGATATTTGATCCTCTGCTTTTCGCATATGTGGTATTTCTTTCTAGATCTTGTTCATTCTCATGGCTTCTGCTTCCACTTTTATGATGATGACTCCCAAATCTTTTAATTCCCTTCTCTCCCACCTGCTCAAACCACATGTGTGTGGAAGAACAACTGAACATACTGACAGAGCCAGGCCACCTCTTTTCATTGCAGATCTTACCACTGCAGAAGAGATGAACTGTTTTAAAAACTAAACTGTGGCTGATAAAACAGCAAGTGAAGCTCCAGTGGCAAGTTCTTCTCTGCTTGTGTACGTGTTCCTCCTTAGTAATCTCATTGTCAGCTCTTCCTGTATGTCATGCTGAAGTTGAGTACAGTGAAGGCAAAGTTCCTACTTGTTTCATGAAGATTGTCCCCTCTGCTTCATTCTGTCACTGTTGGGCCAAAACAAATCCTCTTTCAAGCTGTCTTGGCACCATCTTTGACTACTCCCTACCTTTCTTCTTTCATATTAACATATTTGCAATTTTATGTTTAAAATCATGAAGCATTTTAACACTTGAGAATGGCTGGAGATGGAGGAAAAAAACAGAGTTTGAAACGGATGTTAAACACCGTCATCAAAACATGTGCAATACATAGTGGGCAGATTGTCATGGTGCATGATTGATACACTGTACTTAGCAGATCAGGCGTCTGGTGGAAGCTTTGTAGACAGGGTAAAAAGCTTTGCTTTATCTTGTTTGCTCTGTCCCCTTAGGAGATAGTCACTTGGCAATATTGAGTAACTTAAAACAACCTCCAGCATGATGCAGTGACAGGGAACAGCAAACACATGGAATTTATTTCTAAAAGGGCAACAGTGTTCATTATGTCTTAGAAAAGGTCCTAGATGAGCGCTGGGCTTTTTTTTTTTATTAGCTGTCGTGTTGCCCGATAACCCAGATATGCAAAACTGCAAGGATTTTGACATCTTTTGCAGATCCTGTCTCGTGTTTAATTAGCATTTATCTTAATCTCATTTTAATTTTTTCACACCAGCAGCATAATCAAATGCTACTGCGGCATTTTAACAATTATGTTATATTGGCAGATAGAGACTTCAAGGAAGCTGACCTTTGTCAAGCCCAGACTTATAAAGAGGCAGCTGTTAATTATGTTTTTATTGGAAGATGCATCCCGACAGTGTCAGGGGCCCATTCAGCTTTGCTTTGTTTAGATGTGGTTGGAAACATTATCTAGACAAATGTAGTGGGCAGAAAGTACTGCTTGGTGTACAAAGAAGGGCTGTGCCATTTATAGAAAAGGTTGCTTATGTTGCCCTTCAGCTTTAATTGAGTTATCAGCTGAAGCTTCAAGAAGTAAACGAACTGACCTAAATACTGGGTCTCTGCCAGGGTTAAATATCCCCCTTCCTGTAACAGTTTGGTTTCTAGAATACTTTCTGGAACATTTTTAGCTTTGTTTTGGGAGTATAAAACTGCCTTCGGATCATTTATCACAGTGTGCCCTGAGCAGTCGTTAGGTTGTTGAGACTAAGCACTAAAAACAAATTAAATGGCACCTGAAGAAAACACCTGATCCATCTCCCTCCTCGCGTAAGGTGACAGAGAAGTCAGCAGAGATAGACTGATTGGAACTAGGTGCTGTCTGGGTATTATTGCTGGTCTTGTAGATTATTTTTTCAAATACTAACAGGTGGCAGAAGGAAGGGAGAAATCACCCATTTTCATTGACAAATGGCCCGTTATTCCTTGAGAGCCTGGCTTGCTGTAGTCAAATCAAAGTTCTCAGGCTGTTTCCTAGTAGAAAAGCTTTATTTACCATGATATGTATTCTGCTGTCATCTGAGAGTTATTTCTTTTTCCCCTCACGGTATATATTAGGGCATGTCCAGAAGCAAATTGGAAAGGGGGAGATGAGCTCCATCAGCATCCATAGGATTACAGTATTCTCGTAATGGTGCAACAGCGCAGATCTTGGTGTAGCAGTTTCACGGGTGACTGAGAATCTGTGTGGCTGCAGGCTCTGTACATGTGAGCAAGGATATAGGCCATCATTTTGCTTATTATTTCCCCCTTTCCTTTAAAAAAAAGCTTTCTGCACTTTCTGAGATGATATTATAGTATCTAGTTCTTTTTTGAATGAGAGAGAAAAAGAAACCGCAGTCACATTTTGAATGCCTTTGCACTCTCAATAAGCTTCAGCTTTTGGAAGTTAGGCAACTAGTAGTACAGTCCTAAAAACACTGCCGGCCTCTGCATAGTAACCCTGGGCTTCCTTGGTGGTCTCCCTTCCAAGCGCTAGGGCCGGCCTTGCTTAGTTTTTGGGATCTGCCAAGATCAGGCTAGCCTGGGCCATCCAGGTCTGAGAGACAGGAAAGGATAAAAATAAAAAACAAAAAACAATTTTTTGTCATAAACAAAAGGGCGTATATTATTTGGACAGAACCTTGGTGCTCAGGTGGTTTATGATAAAGGACACTTAAACACTCTCCAATCCTATAATGCATTTCATCTCTGAAGAGATGAACAAGGCCTGGGGAAACCAGTGTTTTTGCTTACTCTGTCAAATATGCCACACATGAATGGTTCAGTATAATAATAATAAATATCAAGTGAGAGTTCTGTCTGGATTGGGTTGCAGGGACCATATCACTCCAGTCTTGTTTCTTCTGCACGGGCTTCCAGTTTACTTCCAGGCCCAATTCAAGGTGCTGGTATTGACTTTTAAAATTCTGTAGTGCTTGAGACCTGCATACCTTTAAGGACTACGGGCTGCCATATAAACCTACTTGATCACTACAGTCATCTTCAGGAGCCATCACCTGATGTTAGACAGTTGGCAACATGAGAAAGGACCTTCTTGGTCATGTCAACAAAACTGTAATATTCAAGGTTCATCTGTCACCCTCTGGCATTGTTGTCCTCCACTGGGAGTTTAAGAATTTTTCATTTCATCTGGCATTGCTGGTCCTTTATTGATTCTCCTTCTTGTTTGTTTTAATTGCTGGTGTGTTTTCTCTCTCTCTCTCTCTCTGAGTTTTTAAATGTTTTAAATAAAATCTCTGCTTCAGAGCTAAGCCTATGCGTCTTCTCAAGGCAACCCTGCTGTTCCCTCGTAGAAAAACGGGTTCCCTGGAATAGTTCTACCACAATATCTGTAAGATAACAAAACCAGTGCAGTCAGTGAGGAGTTGGTGGGTTTGTAGTACGCATGGCTCAAAATGTCAAGTCCTGAAATAGGAACACAAACAGAAAATCCAACTAGGGCTTATGAAGCCCTCTTTTAATCATTCTAGTAGCTCTTCCCTTGAGCAAGAAGAGTGAAACCATGCTGACATATAGTTTTCTGGTGGAGCAAGTAAGTACCCATTATACCTTCTGTGATATAAAGATACTCCCTTGGAAGTCTTTTGTTGTGCTGTGCTGGGTATTTTTTTTCCTCTCACCCCTATTCTTTCTTCAAAGTCAGTTGTGTTTAACTGGCCCCAAGGTTCCTTGACAAGTGGCTCTGTTTGACAATATTGAGGATTGATGCGATAGTTCAGTTGTGTATAGAAGTTAACTCACTGCTCATGTTTGTTTTCATGTGTCTAGTCACTTCCCTCAATTATCTGAGGCCTAGCAAGGCTTTCCCTTGATAAATCACCAAAGCGGGTGGAAACCTGAGCATCCGCTTCCAGAGACTCTAGTGTGTCAATAATTTGTCCTGCCTCTAACTGCAGCACTGTCTTTTTCTGCAGGTTTTTCGTACGGATCTGATAACAGCCATGAAGATTCCAGATTCGTACCAGCTGAGCCCAGATGAGTACTACATCCTTGCTGATCCCTGGAGGCAGGAGTGGGAGAAAGGTGTTCAGGTGCCTGCAAATACAGAAACAATCCCGGAACCAGTGGTTAGGTAAGTTAACATAGGCATCTGTGTGTGTGAGGGAGTGTGTGGTAGTGAGGTAGTACATCATTCAGCCCATCATGCATTGCCACGGTTCTGCCTTTATGTTCAGTTGAGGAACTTTCAAAATTATTCATTTAAAACATTTCTGTTCCAGCTTTCTACCCAAATAGAAGGTGGCGAACATTAAAACATTTCAACAACAAGACATTTAAGACCTTAAAACAGAATGTAAAATGAAGTATTTAAGTATTTAAATAATTTAGGGAGGAGGGCCAATAAGAGCTATTGGGGGGGGGATGCCAAACGAAAAGTCTTCACCTCCTGGTGGAAGAAAATGATAGAAGAAGACAGATGGAATCTCCCTGGGGGGGTGGGGGAGAGGGATTTCTAAAGTTTTGGCACCACCACTGAGGAGGCTGTTGCTTGGGTTGCCAACCATTTGGTCTCAGCCAGCAGGGGCACCCAAAGCAGGGCCTCTGAAGATGGCCAGAGTGGATGGGTAGGTTCATATAGGGGAATGATGTTGAAAAATGTCTACACAGTAATTTTTGAGATGCCTAAGTTACTGTAACTTCAGCTGCTTTGGGCTCTGAGATGGAAGGTGGAACCAACTACTTTCTCATCTATGCTGCTGCCAGGATGAGAGCAATAGAAATGTGATTTCATATATAATATGGTGGTTCAAAGATGACGTGGTTTTGACTATGCAGCCCATGTGTGTAAGTGACAAAAATAGTAATGAATGGTATTCAGGCAACTAAAAGCCAACCAGTAACTAGGTAAAAACCAGCTATATGAAGACTGCAGGCTGTGCCATGTGGAGGTCATACAAAGGTAATGATCCTCAAGCGCTAGCTGTTTTTTATATCCTTGTCTATCCTGATGACTTGCCAAGGGAATGGGAAAGTTAAAACACAGCCATGAAGAACGTTTCAACACACAGATCACATAGGCCACCTGTTTCACCAAGTTGTATTTGTGAAGTTTGTGTAAATCCATACCTGTCAAAAATATTCTCATTGAGAATGTAATATTGTGACACAAGCTGTCTGTGATACAGCAGTAACTTGGGTCCCTCGTCCCTATTGGACCATATATCCCTATTTACTGCCATACACCAATAGTACTCCTCATGTAACCTCCTCCCTATAGTGCCATCTCTTAGAATAGTCCTATTTACTGCCATACACCAATAGTACTCTTCATGTAACCTCTTCCCTATAGTGCTATCTCTTAGAATAGTCCACTTTGTGACCACCAGCACTAGAGCATTCTTTGTTGTCAGGCCAGTCTTTTTTAGTAGCATGTTGGCTTGGATGTGGAGGGCACCTTTGCTCCTTGCTTTTCAGAAAGTACATGAGTGCATTGTATTTCAGAGAATGTTTTGAAAAGACTGAACAGTTGAGAAGGTATTGTTGGAAAAGCTTGGCTGTTTTTGTCTATATATGTTGTTTTAACTCTGTTAAGTTAAAACTGAATCGTTTGAATTGTTATTGCACCATGTTAGTGCTTATTTGTGTTGCTTTGAGTCTTCAGAGAAAGCAGAATATAAATGTTTTAAATAAATAAATGAAATAGCAGCTGAAATTGTGTTGATGCAAGAATGTAAATTGTTCCACATGCCCTGCATAAATGCATTCCTAGGTACAGTCAAAACTCATCAGGTGGAAAATATAAAACTTTGAATGTCTTTGCTAATCCATAGGCTCTCCCATGAACTAGAGCAGTATTGGCATATTAGTGGCACCATATTTGTATTGGTACATACATAGTTAAGTGAGCTGCTGGTACTAAGGGGTGCATGAAAGTTGGCTGGTGTTCATCCTATTGGCACTGAGCTATCTCTCTCTCCCCCCCCCCCTTTCTGGAAGTTTGTCTGGAGGAGATTTTTATGCTTTGGGGCTGTGATAAGCCAGCTTCAGACTTCATCAATGACTAGAATACAACTGTAAATAAATGATTCTGCAAGATTTATTAGAGTTTATTAGAGGTTTATTAGAGGAGGGACCCTAATTCAAATCCTCTACTTCTTGCAATCAGTATCAGGTTTCTTGTTATATGTTGAACCTCAATTGGAAGAGCTTCTTGCACATGGCATGCTGCAAACACAATGAACTTCATTTAAGCAGGCTGGCTCATAACATCGTTGCCTCTTCTTTTTACTATTTTTCTTTCTATTAACTTTGATAACCCTATCAAAGGTCTTAAGAGAAGCTGTAGCTGTTCTAAAGGCAGCCGTTAAATAGGTGAAAATCAGTGCTTTGATAGAACTCATTGGAGAGTTTTTAAGCATGTTAAGGTGTTTTCAGATTGCGTACAGGAAATTCCTTTTTTTCTCTCCTCAAAGGATGGAAGTATTTCAGTAAAGTCAATAACTCTGCCTGAAGCACAGCTTGGCCGACAGTGACAGCAGCAACAGCTGTTGGTGGAGGAAAGTTATGAAATAAACTTTTGTGCACTCATTTCCTCCTATGGGGTGGGAGGAAAAACCTGAAAACAACAAAACTTTAATGATGAGTCTGAATACTTTATAATAGAAACCATTAAAAAGGAATTTCAAGTTGATATAATCCTTAAAGAAATGCTGGGTGGAATATTTATTTTTACCAGCTTTGATACACAACTGCAGTCTGGAGTCATAAATGTCCAGCTCTAGTGCTGAAGGTTGATTTTGGTGTTGTGTCAAGATGAAAAGTGATAGCTTGGCATTGCCTGGGCCGGAGGTGCCTATTTAAAGTCAGACTAAACGGATTCACATTTTTGAGAGGAGAATTTGCAGGCAGCCAGTTTGTTTAACATCTTTGCTCTTTGGTTCCATTGAGGGGACTATTGAAGACCCTGGCCACAATCCAACACAAGGGTCGAAGTACATAAGCCCACTGAAAGAAGCAGTTTTAGGCATAAACTTCCATCTTGGACAGAGGCCTGGTTATGTGATGGGACATATTCCAGTGTGCTGCAGAGATAAGATGCCTTAGAAGGGAGAAAATTCTTTTACATTACCACCAGCATTCCTCAGGATGAGGTAATGCATATCTCCATAAGATTGTAGAGCCTTAGCCCTTAATTACTCTCCAGTTTTCTAAAATGCCCAAGCCGTCAATGCCATCTTCTTTCAATGAACAGTACATGAACATGCACGGACACATGAAGCTGCCTTATACTAACCATCAGTCTACCGAATTCAGTATTGTAAACTCAGACTGGCAAGCAGCTCGCCAGGGTCTCAGGTTGAGGTCTTCCATACCACCTATTACCTGATCCTTTTAACTGGAGATTCCAGGGAAATACCACCTGAAGGGAAAGACTTATTCCTGGGAAAGGGTTTTTGCACAGTTTGTACTGCCCTATCACTTCTCCAACTTGGTGTCTTCACATTGAAGTAATCTGGTGCTACAGTGTTCAAGTCAAAAGTCTGGTAGGTGAAGTCCTGTTTCCTTATTCCCTCTGTGGTTTGAGCGGTTGGTCAGAGGAGGGAACTGCAGAGGAGAGTGAAAAATTGAGACTTTAGCAGTACTGTCCATAATGGTTATGCTCCTTGAGTAAGGTGATCCTACAAGGTATGCTTGTTGCATTAGTATTCCCGCGATCGAGAAACGGGGATGACCTCTGTCTACTAGGAATCATCCCCCCCCCCCCATAGAAGACTTGGCAGTGGCTGGACTAGGGGAGTGTGATGGATGAACATCTCTTTTGCTGCAAGAAAGGCCAGTTTTTTGTGAGGACCTTAGCTGACCAAATCTCTGTTTCATAAACGGGGCCAGATTACATAAGCATCCAGGATTTTACATCTATATGGCAGTCTCAGTAGATGTCACTTATCAATCAGGGGAAGAACAATGGAAAGCTGCCTCCTGTCTGATGCTGCTGGTGCACCGTCCCAGGGACCTCTACAACCCAATCTTAGCTTTGCATTCATCCGTCTTCCTCAGTGCTGGGTGGATGCCCCCCCCCAAAAAAATCCTGGGGGACATGAACATTGCAGGACCTTTATAGAAGGGACATTTGCATGAGCCCCCCCATTTTCTGATTGATGAAAGACGAACCCCTGTAATACTGGCTAGCAAGAAGGTGTCCCTTTATTAGTTTCTGTCCATCATTGCCAACTCTGTCAGCTTTCAGCTACAAACCTTGGAATGATTTGCTTGCCTTGCCAAGGAGGCATAATATACAGAGAATCATTTTAAATGTAGGGATAACTAATTTTTCTAATTTGTGTTTCCCTTCTCCAAGTGTCCTCTTTTGCCTGTCTATATATGCTTAAAATGCAGATTTTAAAAAGTGGAACGTCACTCTGAGAGACATTGGTGTTAATCTTTCCCAGTTGCCTTGCAGAGATGAGGAATTTGGCCAGACTTCCTTTAGGTCAAGGAAAGTGGATTCCCTGCCATATACATGCTCCCGTAGAAGGTGTCAAGGACTGATCTAAAGCAGTTCATCAGTGTCATATATAGTTAATTCTTTCCAGATGGAGGTAGTTCTACATAAGACTGGATGGAAGGAGTGTTGTATGCTACACGAAAAACCCCTCTTATGTGTCCTGCAGTGAATCCAAGCACTTTTATAGGGAGCACCTCCCATTTTTTCTCTCTGGAGCCTGTCTTTCTCCTCCTCCTGCAGTAAATGGTCACAATTTTGCTGAAGATGCATTCATCCTTTTTTTTTGCCATCAAGTTGCAGTAGGCCTATGGTTGACCCCACAGGGTTTTTACGGCAGGAGACGTCCAGACATGGTTTGCCATTTCCTGCAGCTGCATAGCAAACCTTGGTATTCCTTGGTAGTCTCCCATCCAAATACTGACCAGGGCCAATGCTGCTAAGCTTCTGAGATCTGATGAGATAGGGTTATGCTGTGCTATCCAGATTTTCTCTGCATGAGATGTCCCTTCTCCAGTGATAGTGTGAAGGGCTCTCTTAAGTGTTGATCTATACTCTTTTCCTTTTTACTCCCTGCCATTCATTTGAAATAAGCCACCTGCACACTGGGACCAAGATTTCATTCTAAA